TTCATTGTAAGTATAGGATACACTAGGAGCAGATATGATAACTGTTTTTATTTTAATTTGAATCATAATCTGCCTGTATATCTTTTACTGTATGTGGATGATATGTTACTTGTGAGTAAATCTAAGTCTAAAATTCATGAGTTAAAGGGTCAGCTTAGATCAGAATTTGATATGAAGGACCTTGGAAATGCAAAAAGAATCCTAGGGATGGACATTGTCAGGAACAGGGACAAACATGTATTAACCATTAGGCAGAAATCATACTTAGAAAAACTAGTGACTAAATTTGGTATGGCTGACTCAAAACCAGTGTCTATGCCTCTTGCAAACCATGTTGTGTTAAACAAAAGCCAATGCCCCACAACTGAGTCTGAAATAATTAAAATGGAATCTGTCCCCTATGCTAATGTTGTTGGACCTGTGATGTATGGAATGATTAGTACCAGACCAGACCTGTCCTACTCTATTTCCTTATTAAGTAGATTCATGGCAAATCCAGGCAGTGAGCACTGGACTGCCTTAAAGGGTGTATTAAGGTACATTAATGGTACCCTGAATGTTGGTCTAAACTTCTGTAAAAGGCATAATACACTTGACTTGGTGGGTTTTGTAGACTCTGATTTTGCAGGTGACAAAGACACAAGGAAATCCACCACCTCTTATTACTTTACCCTTGGAAGGAACTGCATTAGCTGGAAGTCACAACTTCAGCCCATTGTTGCTCTCTCAACAACTGAAGCAGAATATATTGCTATTGCTGATGTGTTCAAGGAAGCTGTATGGCTGCAAGGCTTGTTAGCCGAAGTAAAACTGACTGATGGCAAGGCTACTGTGCACTCAGACAGCCAGAGTGCAATCCATCTTAGCAAGAATCCAGTTTATCATGAGCGGACCAAGCATGTGGATGTCCGCTTCCACTTTGTCAGAGACTTAGTAACACAAGGGGTAATCGATCTTGTAAAGGTTTCCACTGAAGACAATCCTGCCGATATGGGAACCAAGGTTGTCTCACCTGCAAAGTTCAAACACTGTTTGAACTTGCTGCATGTAAGATAACCTGTGAAGACCAGAACAATGATGAAAATGTTTGGGTTTGCTGCACTGTGAAGGTTTAGCATTCAAGGTGGAGATTGTTGTGAGTGAATGCTGAAACAGCGTCGTATTGAATTTAATGGAACGGTGTCGTTTGTGAGACAGCTCCTGAATGATCCTGACCGCTAATTCAGAAGGAAAGCCAACGGCTGAGATCAATCACGGAGGTCTGAAGAGAGTTACAGAAAAAGGGAATGTTGTGAGTGAATTGTGAAACGGGTCGTATTGAATTAATGGAACGGTGGTTTGTGAGACAGCTCCTGATGATCCTGACGCTAATCAGAAGGAAAGCCAAGGGAGACAATCCTCCAGTCAACGCTATAAAAGGTTAGGGTTCCTGTTATAAAGTAGTAGATCAACAAAAATTGAGAGCAGTTTTCGTTTTTCTTTAGAAAACTAGGGTTCTTACTTGGGTATGATTTTATGTGTAATCTGGGTTTCTTGAGTGGTTTGGGTTAATCAACAAGGGAAAGAATGTGTTCTGTTATAGGGATTTTCCAGATGAGAGGAGTCCTAGGGGCAGATTACGGGTTCAGAAAGTGGTGTTCGATCTGGGTTTCTTGGAGTCTTTTTTTGTAATGTGACTGTATCGAGTGTTCTTTAATCATAGTGCAGCGAACTCTTTCCAGAGTTCAACGTGGATGTAGCTTGCTCAAATCGGGCAAGTGAACCACGGTAAAGATCTGTGTTGTTGTTGTGTTTTCGGGTTTTTGTTGTTTCAGTTCTCTATAGGTTGATTCATAACAGTGGTATCAGAGCCATCGTCTAGGGTGAAATTTTTGAAATCGTTCAATTTTTTTCGGATCGAAAAATTAGGGTTTGCTCGAAAAATAGGGTTTCTCAGATCTAGGGGTTTCTTAATCTAAAGGTTCCTAGAGTATTGAACTTGATTCTTACCAAGTCTGGGGTTTTCTTTGTGAGGTTAGATCACCAACACTGGTTAAGAGTGTCTTGGTTAGTGACGTGAGTCTGTACTTGACTGTTCTCTTGTTGTTTGTCCAGTTTAAGGGTATATAAGGCTGGAAACCAGAGACCGCCTTAAAAATGCTTGGCATATATTGGCAACTTCTGGTGTAACAACGCCACTTACTCCTTAGACTGTACACACTGTCTTTATAATATCATGAGCACTACACGTATGGAGATCTCCCAATACGATGGGAAGATCGATTTTGGGAGTTGGAAGAAGAAATGAAGGCTCTGCTTTCACATAACAAAGTCGCCCTGGCACTGGAGAAGGATCCAAAGAAATGGTCCGAGGAGAAATGAAGGAAGGAGGAGATTGATGAAGCTGCCTACAATCTGATCGTGATGAAACTCTCAGACAGCGTACTGAGAAAGGTGATGGAATCGAAACCCCTCTAGGGTTATGGGGTAAACTCGAAAATTTGTTGCACTCAATCTGCACCTAACTTAGCTTTTCTCAAGGTGCCGTTTTCTTATAAAATGGACAGTAGCAAGACAATAGAGGAAACCTAGACGAATTCCTAAAAAGACTCTAATTTTAAAGGGCACAGATCAGGAACTAGGAGAGACTAGTCTAGCCATGATTCTGTTAAACTCCATTATTGAGGATACTAGTTGTTAAGAATGCACTTCAGTATTCGGTACTGTTCCTAGTGTTGACTTGATTGTGGCTGGTCTAAAGCAGAGAACTTGAGTAAAGTCCAAAAACGAAGTGGGAGTAACCTGTTTGTTAGGGGAAAACCAGACCTTTCAATCTGGTAAAGGCACGTCAACCTAGCCAGGGGTCCAAAAACAAGAAACGGGGGTAAATGGAACAATAAGCAAAGGCAAAGTCTAGAAAATGTTTTCTGTAATAAACTGGTCCACTGAAAAAGAATTGTTTTGAATGGCTTAAGAAACAAAAGCAGGGAAACACGAGAGAACCTAGCCTCATCCAAACACTTAGCTGAGAAACAGAGTCTTACTGTCTCTGTTACTGACAATACAAAAGGAATGGGTGAGATTCTGGGTGGCCTTTTCACATGAGTCCCAATAGGGACTGGTTTCATGACTTGAGGAGTATGATAGGGAGACTGTGTTCATGGGGACAACAATGCCTGTAGGGTCAAAGGTAAAGGCGAGTATAACCCTTAGACATCGTAGTGGAAAACTAATAAAAACTTACTCATGTTAGGTACATTCCAGACTAAAAGGAACCTCATATCTTAGGAACCTTAGATGAAGAGGATGCTGTTACAGAGCTGAAATGGGTGGCTGGATGTGATAGAAACCATAATCTATTCTGAAAGGAGAAAAAAGGAATGGTTGTACACCTATGTGGAGAATATTATTCTGATTGCCTAAGTTCCTTTCTGTCACCCCAAATATGTCCAGTAACAAAAAATGGCACCTTAGAATGGGACATATGGTCAGAGGGGACTAGATATCCAAGTAACCAAGGCATTAGGAAAAGACACTGCTGCAACTTAGTTTTGTGAGAACTGCATTTTAGGAACAGCACAGAGTTAGTTTCCCAAAAGGATACACCTGGCCAAAGGTGTTTAGAATACATACACTAGACTATGGGCCTGAGAGAGTGAGGTCTCATGGGGCAGTAGCTACTTATGTCCATTGTAGATGATTTAGAAAAAGTGTGGATTTACACCCTTAGAACTAAGGACCAGGCTTGTCTAAATTCAAGAGTGGAAACCCTTGTGGAAAACCAACTAGACAGAAAGGTAAAAAAACCATAAGACTGACACATGGATTAGAGTGCTGTAACAATGAGTTTGATCAGTTTGTAGTGAGCAAGGATCTAAGACCTAGAACTGTGAGAAGAACCCTCAGCAGAATGGGTAGCTGAGAGAATGAACAGACACTTTGGAAAAAGTCAGATGCTTGTGTTCACTTCAGGGTTACCTATACCTTCTGGGGAGAGGCCTTGTCCACTGCAGCTATCTGATAAATAAGAGCCCTCACTGCCATAAATTTCAAATGCCCTGAAGAAGTTGGTCAGGAAGAAAGCCTGGTTTAAGCCATTTGAGAATCTTTGGGTGTACAGCCTATGCACCTACAGTGGGAGGAAAGTTAGAGCCTAGATCCAAGTGTGTGTTCCTAGGATATCAAGATGGCCCAAGGGGTATAGACTCTGGGACAGAAAGTCACCAGGGGTAAAAATCATCATTTCCAGGGATGTGATCTTTAATGAAGGAGAGTTTCCTGTAAAACCAATGAACAGAACACTGGTACAAGCACCCCAACTGAACCACCAAAGAACTACTGAGAGTACAACCATTGAGGTGGAGCTGTGGGTCAGCAGGTATCCACCTCAACCCAATGAGGAAAATGCCACTGAAAACCAACAGGATCAGAGATCCTGGATCTGATAGTGAAGAAAATGAAGCAGATGCCTCAGAGCCCAACCTGCACACTTAGAACACTATCAACTTGCCAGAGATAGAATAAGGAGGGAGGTAAGACCCCCTGCCAGGTTTTTATGGTAACTAATTACACTGCTTGCTTGCAGGAATAGGGATTCAAAGAAAAGAACAGACTCATTATGAAGAAGCCATGAACTGTAAGGAAATGGAAAAATGGAGGCAAGCAATGGAAGAGGAAATGAGGTCACTTGAGGTAAACAGAACTGGTCTTGGTTCCCAAACCGGTCAAAAAACTAATTAAATGCAGATGGTGTACAAGATTAAATAGGGAATCTCAGCTAAGTATTATTGAATTAACAAACTTATCTTCTAATAACTGACTTAACAACCTAGCATCAACAGAACAAAACTAACATCCTGCTCAATGGTGGAGCTTTTAGAGAGGGCTAGCCCGGGCTAGCTTTGCAGAAAATTTTTTATAAATTTTTACGTAATCTATTTATGTTTTAAATTTGATATCTCTTTAGAGAAAGGACATCCAACTCTAATGATTCATCATATTTGTTTGTCCATTTTGAACCCAAATTTCAATTAATTTAAATATATATTTGTATAACAAATGCAATTTAAGGAATAAGGTTCAAGATGTCGCTATGACTAGATGCATATATTTTTTTAGTTAAAAAATTCTCTCACATTGTGACGATTTGCTTAAAAAAAGGTGTTAATCAAGAAGTTTTTATGTCACTGAAAAAAAACAAAAAAACAGAAAATAAGCCCGGGTAAAGAAACTTATTGGCTAAGCTCCTGATCGTTCGTTCATACTTCTTCTTCTTCTTTTCTCAAATACATATCCTATACGAAGAATCACGAGGAAGAAGCTCAAGCCGATTAAACAAGTGGCAATGGCAAACCCCAAAGAAGGTGATAACACTGCATATGTGCCTGAAGAAAAAGCAACCACCATTGCCACTATGGCTGACGAGATGAGAAAACGAGTATGTGCACGATAAAACCAAAATCTGGACAAGTTCCATGATGCAAAGAAGTGGAGAAAGACAGCGGCGAGGGAGAGGACGAAGGCTGTAGCATCTGTTATAACAAAAGCTTGAAAAGCTGCTTTTCTACTTAGGAATGCCGTGCCCTGACGAGGGCCTTTTTCACTTTGGTAGCCACCGGGCATTGTTAAAGCTGCTGTGAAAGTTACTGTTGCTATGAGTGTAACAACCACCAATTCAGAATCTTTTGTTTTCTCATATCTGGGGAGTCTATGAAATATCCAGAATGGACTTTTACTAATAATACCTCGTCGATATGGTCCAGTACCATCAGAATTTGACAATTCTTGGATCTCTTCCTGTGATACACATTGAATATTACTCAAAGCAATATAAGAAAAGTAAATCAAATTAAGATATTGTAGAAAATTTTAATGTAAAAGTAGTAATGAAATATTAATTATAAATACAAAAACACCATTTTACTAACATGCAATGCCTGATTAGTTGATGTTACATACTTTGTGTTTTAAGGTCATGATGTTTGTGATTGAAATGGAATGGGAATTGTGCATTGGGAATGGAAATCGAAGAACGGAAATGTTACCAAGTAATGGAATCCCATTCCATTGTTTGCGTGTAATATGGAGTGTTGATGGAATAAAATAAAATTTGTAGTTTTTGGACAAAAGTACCCCCAATTTATCTTATTTAATAGATACAAAATTTTATTTTTTATTTAAATAAACAATTTTCAAAGTTTGAAAAAAAAAAAATTAAAAATCTAAAAAGATTCGAAAATTGAAAAAATTTAAGTTGGTTAATGCAATCAAAGTGGTCAATCAGCTACCTTCTGTCGTGCTTCCAACGTCACAGCCAATGCATAGACTCTTAAAGGTTGATGATCTACCAATCTGGGCGAATCTCGACCATCAAAGACCAGCGAGTGACATCACACGGAGTGGCCATGACCAAGGACCACAGCGTGATGTCACTAAGGCAATCTTTTAGATTTAAAAAATAAAAAAATAAAAAATAAAAAAATAAATAAATTCTTTTTAAAATTTCAAATATTTAATCTTTAATATTTTAATAAAATAATTATATTTTAAGTTAATTTCTTTGGGGGTAAAATGAGAAATTAGAATTTAAAAAGAAGTAAATTGGATATTTTAACATTCAATTACCAATAATGAATGACATTCCTCCCAATTTGAGAGGAATGCTGTGCCACCGTTTTTCAAAGAATGGGAATATAATTCCTTATGCCACTTCTATGAACCAACCCAGGGATAAGAAATAAAGTTTTTATTCTATAGTACATTCACCCTAACTAAACATGACCGAATGTCTCACTCGAAAACTTTTTCCAGCCAATACCATAAATGCTTATTGTTCATACTTCAACTTTTTTTTTTTTATATTTAAAACGGGACAAAAATTAATTAAGATATATATGATAATGCTTGTTATACATGCTTAAATTAAACATAGCAGCTATTGGCAACTACAAACAAATCAAATCCAATAGATCTAAAAATTCAAAGGGACAAAAACAATGAACAATTACCTATAAACTATTTTCAGATTATACTTCTTCAATTATTAATATATGATTTAGTTAGAGTTCAAAAAATATATGACATACTTGGAAAATGTTAAAGGACTGCTGATTGAAGATAAGATTTAGGTCTGATGAAAAGAGGAGTGAATGAGATGTACACAATATGGGTAAAATTGTTCAAAATTAGGGTGAAAGTTCTTAGTTACAAATGCATTTTTTAATTTGATTCCTGAAAAAGGGGTCTAAAGAGAGTTACAGAAAAAGGGAAAGATGGTGAAAAAGATAAAAGGGTATTTTTAATAAAAAATTTCTTTGACATACAGTATTAGTTCCAAGGTTTGCTTTGTCAATGATAGACATTCAGAAAAGAAGAAATAAAAGATAGAAAAATTAGGTTCAACCAATAAGAGATACCAAATTAATTATATGGTGATATTTTTACAATTATATCATGTAAATTATAAAATAATGAATAACAAATTAATCAACTTTTTTGGAAGCAGAGCTTTGCTAAATAAACACAAAGTGTAGAGGGGAACACAAAAGTTAAAAGTGAATATATTCAGTACCTGCAGCTGAGGAGAGCCGTCAACCAGTATGTCATGGATACTGTCATTTTGCTTGTTAACAGCAGAATGATATCTTGAGGCTTTAAGTTTTTCTTTTATGTGAGGGTATGCCCCTGGACGGCAAGCAGCAAGCACATGGAGAGGAGTGTTTCCTTTTGCATCCTTCTTAGTAATAAGATCTCGTATGATTGGATTTTCTAGCAAACTATTCAATTGTAGAACAGTTAACTTAGTCATGGCAAAGTGAAGAACATTCCATCCACGGTCGTCAACCATTTGACAACAATCCGGACACTGGGAAATAATTTCTTCTATTATCTGCATATGCATATATTTTTTTTTCAACGGCAGGGTATACTTAGGAGACGAATTTGCAATGCTGACTGACATATGAAGAGGTGTCATCTTTCTATCTTTATCAGCAACGTATGCAGCAAATATATCAGATTCTAAAAGTAGTTTTGTAATGGAAAAACTACCATAGTATGCAGCGAAATGAAGTGGAGTCCACCCATTTTGATTTCTGTTTCTGGTCAAACTCTCTTTGTTCTTTAGCAATTCCCTTGTAATACCTGAAACAAATTGAATTAATAAATATACAAGTAATTTTATTCAGTCTACAATTCAATCTCACATCCTTCTTTTCAACCCTCGATATGATAGTTTATTATTGGTTAGGTCACAAAATAGGTTTCAACTATCTGTTTAAGAACTAATTAATAAGAATTGTCATGTCGAGAATATGAGAAAATATTATAGACATACCATTATTGTAAATATATATGTCAACCATTACTTAAGGCCTTATCACAGGAAACCCCCAAGGGCTTGTAGACATTACCAAAAAACCCATTTCTATTAGAACTTTAAAAAAATTTAACAGGAATTTGAAATGATCATTTTACCCTTCAATAAAAGTTTTAGAACTTAAAATCTGATACACAAATATTTCAAATTCATAACTTGAAACAATAAAACTTAATAAAATGGGTATTTAAACATACAAATTTTAACAATTGATAAATAAAACACAAAAATCTTCCAGAATTTTTGACAAAATCTAGCCTCACAATAGTTGCTTGAGGTCGGAAATGGTCTCTTGGTAGGCGCTTGAGGCCGAGAATGACCTCGTGGCAGTCGTTGGAGGCCGAGAAAGACCTCACAACAAATATTGAGGCCGAGAACGGCCTTGAGCAGTTTCGGAGGAGGCCGTTTCCAGCCTTTGGCAGCCGTGTGAAGGCTAGTTCAGCCTGTTCATAGCCATCTAAGGCCGAGAAAGGCCTCACAACAAATATTTCTGGCCTTTTACTGTTGCGAGGAGGTCGTTTTCGGCCTTGGGTAGCCGGAGGGAGGTCTTGTTCGACCCCGTGGCAGTCGATCTGCCCAGATTCGACCTCATCGTAGTTACAGGAGGTCTGGTCCTCTAGTAGAAATGGTGGGGGAGGAGAAGGAGGAAGTACAGAGGAAGAAGATGGAGGAGAAAGAGAAAAAAAAAAAAAAAAAAAAAGGAAGAGGGTGAACAAAGGGAAAAGGAGAAAGAAGAAAACAGATTAAACTTGAAATGAATATATTATAAAATTATTCTTTCCTCAGTTATAAGATACAGATAAGGGATCACCTAGATGGTTGTTCTTGACAGCCACATGCAAAGCAGTCATTCCATGGGGGCCTTCGTGGGCGGCTGACTTGCATCTTTTTAATATTTCACGCAATGATAGGAGACATCCTCTCTCGGCAGCAATGAAAAGTGGAGTTTCCCCCAAATTATTAGCAAAATGTGAAAACTCAGGATCTTCTTTGGTTAAAATTTCCACTACACGGACGTAATCACTCACCACTGCCTCGTGCAAGGCTGAGTTTCCCTCGTTATTGCTCTTCCTGATCATCAGCTGCTTGTATTCTAACCCACTTTCTGGATCTTGAGGTTGAGTTTTTGCGTATTGAATAAGAACTTTCACTATAGGAAAGCACCCATGTCTTGCCGCAACATGTAGGGGTGTATCCCCATTGGCATTAACTTGTCGTAGAAGTGATGGACATTTTTCAAGCATTTCTCTCACGAACAATGTTGATTTTCGGGTTTCGGATGACAGGTGAACATGCAAGATTGTATTCTTAATCGGTGTTAATATGAGATCGAGATGTTGATTGTCATCCGTGAAGGGTTGGATATCACCCTTGATTGCAGCCTTGTATAAATCACGATTGAACTCACATTCGCTGCCAAATGAAACGGAATCCATTGGCGAAATGAAGTGTGTTTGGTGAAGCAAATGAAAATTGCATAGAGACAATTATAAGAGAAGTACCGCAATTTCTTTTTTAAAGCTAAAAGTTTGGTCCACTACGTTAGGCTTTACTGTTATTAATTAATGCCAAATCAAAGTAGCTCAATTTCTTCTTTTAAAGCCAACAATCAGGCCCCTGTAAAGAAATTTAAGTTATATATTCTCAAATTATAGAAACTCCAAGTGCTTTCTTCATTCTGTCGATTTCATTTATCGATCTCACTGAGTCATTTCAAAATTTCTCATGCCAATGATGCAACTTAGGGAAAAAAATTAAAATGCTTGTGGGAAGTTAATTTTCAGATGTGTGAAACCAAATATATATATTCGAATGCTAAGGACCAAAATAGTTTTAGTAGTGCTCTTTAATTTCCACATGCATTAATTAACAACCTCATAGATCTGCTTTAATTTAGTTATTTTTTTTGTGAAAAATGTTGAGATTGTGAAGCCAAATTCAATCCAAATTAGAGTTGGATTAGTACATGGGTTTTCCTAATATAATTGTTTTCTTTTAGGAATATGATTATAATTGTATTAGAAATTAAAATAAAATTCTTATGAGGATATGGGATTTGAGTCCTATTAGGAATAGTGTATCATGTATTACCTATAAAAAGGGGTTAAATCCTAGAGTCAGATATCACAAATTGAATAAAAGACAAAGCCACAATCAAATAGTGAGAGCCACCAAATAGGGTTTAGTAAGTGAGCCAATTTGTGAGGCTTGTGAGAGATTCTTGCAATTTTTTTTTCTTCTTTTTCATAGTGAAATTCCGCAACTAAAAAGTGGATGTAGCTCTCATACGGAGAGTGAACCACTATAAATCTTGTGTTCGTGTGTGTGGTTATTTTGTGTCCTTTGTTTGCATTATTTTCGCTCTCAGAGATTAGGATTTGCTAATATCCAATTAAATCCGCCCGACAATTGGTATCAGAGCAAGGTTTGAGGAAGAAAGCGATGGCTGGAGAAGAAGAAGGATTTGCACCTGGGATCAACAAGTTTAATGGAATAGATTACGCATTCTAGAAGATGTAGATTGAAGATCATCTGTACGACAGAAAATTACATCTACCTCTCTTAGGAGAAAAACCCGAAAAGATGTCAAATTAAGATTGGACACACCTTGATAGACAAGTATTAGGAGTCATTCGATTGACATTGACCAAGAACGTGGCTAGTAATATGGCGAAGGAGACAACCGCAACAGGTTGATGAAGATCTTGTCTGATATGTATGAGAAGCCTTCTGCAAATAACAAGGTACATCTTATGAAAAAATTATTTAATCTTAAGATGAAAGAAGGTGCTTCTGTGATAGAGCATATAAATGATTTTAATACAATTATTAATCAACTATCGTCTATAAAAATTGATTTTGATAAAAATTGATTTTGATGAAGAAGTTCGTGCCCTAAATCTTACGGCCTCCCTACCAAATAGTTGAGAGCCTATGAGAGTAGCAATTAGTAATTCAATAGGTAGTGCGAAATTAAAACTCACAGATGTTAGAGACAAAATTCTTGCTGAGGAAGTTCGCAGGAAAGATTCGAGTGAGATAACATCAAATGCTTTAAATGTTGAAACAAGAAGTATGGGCTATGATAGAAATTCAAATCGAGGCAGAGGAAGATCTAAATCAAGGAATGGAAGAAGCATGTCTAGGTTTGGGAAAAAAATAGAGTGTTGGAATTGTGGCAATAAAGGCCATATACACAGGAATTGCAAAGCAAAAAAGAAAGAGGAGAACAACAATAACGACATTGCCAATGCCGTAACTGAAGAGGTACAAGATGCTTTACTTTTATTTGTTGGTAGTTCTATTGACTCTTGGGCTTTAGATTCATGAACTTTATTCCATACCACTGCACACTGTGAAATTCTAGAAAATTATGTTGCTGCAAATCATGGAAAGGTATACCTAGCAGATGGAGAACCTTTGGATATTATAGGTATGGGTGATGTTAGGTTGAAGATGGCAAACAGATCTGTGTGGAAAATCCAAAAGGTAAGGCATGTACCAAAATTGATGTGCAATCTAATAACAGTTGGGCAACTTGACGATGAAGAGCATAGTATGTCCTCTCTAGGTGGTGTATGAAAAGTTACTAAATGAACCATGGTGGTTGCTCGTGGAAATAAAACTGGAACTCTTTTCATGACTTCTAGTTGCAAAGATTCAGTTGTAGTTGCAGAAGCCAGTGTTACCTCAAGTTTGTGGCATTGTAGACTTGGGCATATGAGCATGAAAGGAATGAAGGAGCTTCAATCAAAGGGAAAACTACCAGAGTTGAAGTCAATTGATCACTGTTTGTGTGAAAGTTGCATCTTTGGCAAACAAAGAAGAGTAAGGTTTTCCAAAGTAGAAAGAGAACTAAAGGCAAAGAAGTTGGAGTTGGTTCATACAGACGTATGGGGACCTGCTCCTATGTCATCCCTTGGAGGCTCAAAGTACTATATGACGTTCATTGGTGATGTGAGCAGAAAGGTATGAGTTTGTTTTTCGGAAAATAAATATGATGTTTTTGATACTTTTAAAAAGTGGAGAGCCATGGTTGAAAATAAGACAAACCTAAGGGTGAAGTGCTTGCTATCCAATAATGGGGGAGAGTATATTGATTAAGGGTTCAAAAAATAGTGTGCCAACAATGGGATCAAGATGGAAAAGGCCATTCCTACAACTCCTGAACGGAATGATGTCACCGAAATGATGAACAGAACCCTAAATGAGTGTGCAAAAAGCATGAGATTGCATGTTGGACTACCACAGACATTTTGGGCTGACGCAATTAATACTGCAGCTTAGTTGCTTAATAAATGATCCTTTGTACTGTTAAATTGTAAGATCCTAGAAGAAGTTTGGAGCGGCAAAGAGGTAAATTATTATTTTTTAAGAGTGTTTGGTTGTTTAGCATATGTTCACATTGACTCTACTCTTAGAAGTAAGCTTGATGCTAAATCTAACAAATATTTTTTCATTGGTTATGGTGACGCTGAGTTTGGTTATCGTTTCTGGGATGACCAAAACCATAAGATTATAAGGAGCAGAGACGTTATATTCAATGAAGAAGTGATGTATAAGGATGGACTCAACATGAAGTTACAAAATCCAAACACTAAAGTGAAGAAGCAAGAGGTAGTTCCTTTGAAAGACTTCCCAAGGAATGACATGGAAGACAATAACCAGGAAGATCAAGGTAATATAGCTCCAGAAGTTGAACCACAAAAGCCCGTGTTTGGACCTAGAAGATATTCTAGAATTATGAGACCACCACAGAGGTACTCCCCTTCGTTGAATTATATTTTACTAACCGATGACGGGGAACCAAAGTGTTACAAGGAAGCAATGCAAGTTGATTACTCAATCAAGTGGGAACTAGCTATGAAGGATGAGATAGATTCATTATTAACAAATCAAACCTAGCAATTGATAGAGCTACCACAAGGGAAGAAGACATTGCAAAACAAGTGGGTTTATTAGGTGAAAGATGAACATGATGGCAGCAAATGATATAAAGCAAGACTAGTCGTAAAAAGATTTCAGCAGAAAGAAGACATTGACTACATTGAAATTTTCTCTTCAGTTGCCAAGTTGACTATAATAAGAACAGTACTTGGGTTAGTGACAAAAGAAGACCTTCATCTTGAACAGTTAGATGTAAAGACGACGTTCCTTCATGGAGAATTGGATGAAGAAATTTATATGCAGTAGCCACAGGGTTTTAAAGTAGAAGGAAATGAGAGAATGGTGTGCAAACTTCAAAAGAGCCCAAATGGGCTAAAACAGGCACCTAGATAGTGGTACAAGAAGTTTGATGGGTTTATGTATAGTAATGGTTTCCTTAGATGCCAAGCAGCTCATTGCTATTATTTCAAGAAACTTGGTAACTCCTATATCATCCTATTACTATATGTAAATGACATGTTAATTGTAGGGGGCTTGTAAATAGGAAATAGACAAGCTGAAAAGGAAATTGTCAAAGGAGTTTGCTATGAAGGATTTGGGAACTACAAAACAAATCTTTGGAATAAGGATTACCAAAGATAGAGCCAAAGGTTTCTTAAAGTTGTCATAAGAAGAGTATGTGAAAAAAGTACTCAATAGGTTCAATATGGATGGAGCAAAGCCAGTAAGTACCCCTTTGGCTAGTCACTTTAAACTATCCAAAGATCAATCACTTACAATAGAGCATGAGCAAGACTACATGGCCAAGGTACCCTATGCATCAGCGATTGGTAGTCTTATGTATGCCATGGTGTGTACAGGGCCAGACATATCACATGCAGTGGGAGTTGTGAGTGTGTACATGAGCAATACAGGAAAGCAACATTCGAAAGTAGTAAAGTGGATTCTCAAATATTTGAAAGGTACTATAGATTCAACATTATGCTTTAGGAAGTCAGACTTAGAGCTACAAGGTTATGTGGATGCTAATATGGCTAGTGACATTAATAACCGCAAGAGTACCACAGGTTATGTCTTTACATTAAGTGGTGTAGTGGTTAGTTGGGTTTCAAAGTTACAGAAGATTATTGCTCTTTCTACTACAAAGGCAAAGTATGTTGCTGTGACAGAAGCTAGTAAGGAGCTAATATGGTTACAATGGTTCCTAGAAGAATTGGGTCAGAATTATGACAGAAGTGTTTTGTATTTTGATGGCCAAAGTGCAATTCACCTATCAAAGAACCTGATTTACCATGCTAGAAAAAAACACATAGAAGTTCGTTATCATTTCATACGCTCAATTTTGGAAGAAGGAGTTATAGCTCTCGAGAAGATTCGACGGAGTAAAAATCTAGTTGATATGTTTATGAAGGTAGTTACCATTGAGAAATTGAAGTTATGTACAACTTCAGTTGGACTTCTTGCTTGAAAAAGAGAAGTTGATGCTGCTGCTAATGGAAGTGAAGAATTGAAGACATGTGTTGAATTAGTCTCTAAGTGGGAGATTGTGGAGCCAAATTCAATCTAAATTAGAGTTGGATCAGG